TTTCTGTCTTAGTAGCAAATGCATCGATGATGTTGGAATAACCTACCATTGTCCGGAGTTAGCGATCTGGCCTGACTTTCTGAGACTAGTCAGTTCTATGTCTCACTCCAGGGTTACTATGAGATATTGCTCTCCTTTGTTTACTTTCATTAACATTAATATATGAGTTTTTTTCTTTTAAAAAAAGTTTATTTTACATGTATTTTGCTATTATCTAAATCTGATTTGATTTTAGTTCTCTGAAATCTAATCTAATCTGATATACTCTGAGATTAGATTAAGTCCAACTCAAAACATTTGTGCATCAATTTTGCCCTAATTTCAAGCTCATTGGAATCCCTAATTTGTAGTCCTTACATAACAAACGAAGCTTAATTTACACAAGACAGTGGAATTCGTCAATCGTGTAACACATATGAACATTTAAAGATCTCTGAAACGCCTATTTCAATCTCAAATCCAGGCTCAATTTTATACAACATACCCGTAAATGGAATTTATCACCAGTCAGCGGCGTCGTTTTACAAGAACAGCTTTGCGGGTACCGCCGCCGCAGGCTTTTGAATCGCCACTCTTTCTCAGTTTTCATTCAATGGAATCTCTGTTCACCGTCCTCGTCCGCTTTTTGAACATCTCTGCAAGCCATTTCTTTTATAAGATTCTTATGATTGTTTAATTATTTAAATAATGGTGGAGTAATAGCCGTTTAATTGCACATACCATACGATGTAACAGCCAATTACATTCCAAATCTTGCGCTCTCCTTTTAAAGGTCATTTTGGTCCACTCAGTACAGTATTAGTCACCCTTAAAGAGTAGGGAAGGCAGCAGCAAAAAATGACACAGCATGTAGGGAGAAAAGGAATGCTGAAGTCATCATGATACACAGATTTTTAATTTTAAAACATTTAAGAAAATACTCTCTCCTGTTTCAGTGTTTAACTTCACACAAATTAAGGAAATAAATTTGACTTTACTGTAGAGTACATTATTGTGACACTGTTTGACACTGTTTTGCATCGTTTTGATATAGATAATTTGCCAAATAAAGAAGGGAGAAGAAGTGTGAACTTTATTTTGGGTCATCCCAAAAAGGAAAGTGTGAATTTTATTTAGGACCGGAGGGAGTATTTGCAAATTACTTCGTAGTCCATGCTTCGTATTTTTTAACAATTACATGCAAGTTTAGAGGCCATTTGGCAACACTGTTTTTCGGCTTATCAGGCTTATCAGCCAATTTTTTCATCAAACACGTAAGTTTTGCTTTCGCGCGCTGAATTGTGTAATAAGAAGAAAAAGTAAGGTTGGAGTTACTTTTCTGGTTGTATTGGCTGAATTTACTGTAGATGACCATTTTAGCTATTTTTACATATAAGTTTTTCTTTATTTTATTAATAAAATACACTTTAAAAATATTTTTTTCTTAAATCAGCAGAATCAGCCAATGAAGCCACTTCAGCCAGAACTTTATAAATTTCAGCAGAATCAGCCAAATCAGCCGATTTTCGTGCTACCAAACGGGCTCTTAGTTAAAAAAAATGACATTCTTTTACGTTAACCAAACAAACAACAATCACATTCAAAGTCTGAACTGATTTAATCTATTTAAGATTGGTCTTGTTTAATTTGTTTAAGTACGATCTAGTTTGAAATATTTAAGTTTGATTTGGTCTGGTGTGAAATGGTTTAATGTGAGACTGAAACCTTTTTATGTAAAAACATACTCCCTCCGTCCTGAAAAGGTTGGCCAGATTTTTTTTTTGGATGTCCGAAAAAGATTTGCCATTTTCATTTAAAGTAAGGAACATGTGGCTAAAATTAATTCTTACTCTTCCGCACAAATTTCAACCATACACTTTTTACTTTATTAATCCCTGTGAAAATCAACTTTGACAAACTTTTTCGGGGCGAAGGAAGTATAAAATATGAGGCTCACGATGTCAACAATGATGAGAAGTGATAGTTGTCAACTAAAATAATTTAGTTGTACGACCTTAAGTGTACAACCTGAACTCCATAATTTGGAGAATGCTAGAAGTATAAATAAACCAATAAAAGAATTTAAGAAAAATTATCAATTTGGTCATTGTACTATCATCAAAACGTCAATTAAATCATCATACTTTTTAAAAAATCAATCAAATTTTCAAACTTTACAAAAACGTTCGATTGAGTTCATTAGCAGGTTACCCGCCACGGCAGCAAGCCAACTGCTGACGTGGCACACATGTGGCGGCCAGTCAGTGGTGATTTTGCTGACTTGACGCACACGGGAAAGCTCAATCAACCAATTCTTGATGGTGTAGCACACAAATGGAGTTGTGGATGACCTGATGACATAGCAGGTAACCTGCTAATTGACCCAATTGAACATTTTTTCAAAATTCGAAGATTTGATCGATTTTTTAAAAGTATGAGAATCTAATGGACGTTTTGATGATAGTACGATCATCAAATTGATAATTTTCCAAAAATTTCAAACAAGTTATGTGGCTATTGTAATTATCTTTGAGGTAAAAGTGATATGCAAAAAACTATTTTTGCATATTGCATAACTCTCATCACTTAGAGTCCCGCTTCGTATACACGTCGGGTTACACGCCGGTCAAATTGTCTGTGTACAGACAATTTGACCGGCTAGACAGACAATTTGACCGTCGTTTTATGAAGAAAATCGATTTCCATACAAACAAAATATAAAGAGTTGTCTGTATCACAGACACTTTAAACCTGAATTTTTCATAAAGTGTCTGTGATACAGATATTTTTTTATTTCTGTCTGTGTGAAAATCGGTTTTCTTCGTAAATCACCGCTCAATATGTCTGTCTAGTCGATCAAATTGTCTGTGCACAGACAGTTTAACAGGCGTGTAAACCGACGTGTAAAACTTAACGTGTACAAAAGTAATTTCCCATCATTTATAGCCTCGGCTCCATTTAGCTAGCTCTCCACTAATGAATAATTTCTTCTTTCGGAGTGTAATGTGAACCATACACATAGTCAAGGTCCTGCCAAAGTGGAACCCACTATATATCAACGATCAAGCCTTACATATTTACACAATTATATCAACAATATAGTCTCTTGTGTAGATTTTAAAAGATCTTGACATTTTGACTTCACAGTTTTAAAGGAAATAAACAATGTTTGACACTATTTGGCATTGTTTGACACTGTTTGACACTGTTTTGTGTAGATTTATTTGTCAAATAAGGTAAATAAGGAAGTGTAAAGATCTTTCTGGTACTGCTAAAAATGGAAAGTGTAAAGATCTTTCAGAATGAGTATTTATAAAAAATAATTTCTATATTCATGTCACGTACTATTCGTTTTCCAGTTCTTGGGCACCAAGAATACATGTTTCAAGAATAATGATCCAACTCTGATCCATTACTACGTGATTCCCTAATTACTAGTGAATATCGCAAGACATCATCACTTTAGCTTCACTTCAGACCAATTTGTTAGTATGTTTTTTAATTGGATTGAAAGTTTTGGGTCTGGTCTACTATATTTAAGTCTTATTAGGTTTGAACTTGTTTGGTTTAGTTTGGAACTTGGTAAATGTCTTTGTATGTGTGTTTTATTATTATCAAGTGTGATCAGTCTGATTTGGTCCAGTTTGTTGAAATCTCATCTAATTTGGTCTGATTTAAGACTGCAATTAATCTCATTAAAAACATTGTATCCATTGAATACACAAAGTGGTAATTCTTCTCGTCATCCAAGACATTATTAAGCGAAATGTGATACCACGATCCTCCTCCAAGTCCTTCCATGAGTTGATCCTAACGACTCACTTATTTCACCATATCCAAATTAAAGATCGTTTCAACTAATTAACATTGTCTATCACAAAATAATTATCATTTTAATAAACTATGTCTACTTTTATACTACTATTTTAGATTTTCCCTATAAACTACAATATCATCAAATGCTTTTGCATTTAGGAAAGGGGTAATAATAATAAATTGCACGTAATGATTACATTTATAAAAGGGTAAAATATCTTCTTGTAAGACATTTTAATATGTGTGAAAACGTCAAATAAGGATAATAAAGTCTAATTGACATCATAATTGAGATGGAGTATTAGATTTTGCATTAGTCTCCTCCCACTTTTCAAACTATATGACTAAACTATTGTCTACCAAAACTAAGGATAATAAAGTCTAATTGACATCATAATTGAAGGACCAACAATGTCTTCACCCTTTAAACTAATAAAAGTGCTACTTGTACATGCCCATTTACATGTCAGATGTATTTTGTCTGCGCACAAACCGTTCATGCACATATAATTCACTTTTTCGAGATCATAGACAAATTTCCTTTAATAAAATCAAAATCAATTGTTTGTGTATAGACTAAATACATTCAGCGTGTAAAAAGATATGCTCCCTCCGTCCCAATTTGATTTGTAAATTTTTCTTTTTTGATTGTCCCAAAATGGTTTTTCACTTTCTATTTTAGGTATGAAAATAAGAATAAAGTGACAAATTTTCTCTTACTTTTACTATTTCCCCATTAACTTAAAGACATCTACTTTTAGAAAGATGGATAAAAGTGTAAAAAACAAGTATCATTTATTGTCATTTTTAATCCTTGTGTAGGCCAAAGTTTGCAATTCAATTCGGGACAGATGGAGTATAAGTAATACTCCGTATTGTTGTTACACTAAACCCCGCAAATACCTTTTACCCAAACACACCCCTAAAGTGCAAACTCACAGCTTTACAAGTTACTCCCTTCGTCCCAATTTGATTATCTCATTTCTTTTGGGCACAAGTTTTAATAAAGTGATTGAAAAGATCAAAATTGTGGTTGAGATTTGAGTATAATAAAATGAAATGATATGTACCACATCTTTCTTTTCAAAAAGAGAAATAAGATCATCATTTTGGGACATCCCAAAAAGGAAATAAGGGATATCATTTTGGTAAGGAGGTAGTACTATGTACAACTTATCAGCTAAGTAATGATCCCATCTGTACGGAGCGAGTAACTTTGCTGGATCCCGCGTTTGCTGAAAAGGGTGGCGTTTTATAAACCAGGAAAACGGCTTTTTTTAGTCAACCTCATCCATCACGGAAATACAGAGAAGAGAAATGTTGGAGCAAATATAGGCAGGGAGGAAAAAGAGGGAGAAAGAGAGAGGTCAGAGTGGAAATTAAAGAAACGGATAGATTTGTTTACTGATTGGGAAGGAAGATCAGAGAGATCTATTAGGAAACCTAGCTTTAATTAATGGCTTCCTCGACATCAGAACCAGCACGAGATCCTCCCGTACCTAAACCATCACTGGTACCGCGTATTCCGATCCCCACTAAGCCAACTTGGATCCTCCCGTACAGGACGCAGGCACTTCAGCAGTTGTACACCATTGGGAAGAAGCTGGGGCAGGGGCAGTTCGGTACAACCCACCAATGCACCGAGAACGCCTCCGGGAATCTGTATGCCTGCAAGAGCATCCCGAAGAAGAAGCTGTTCTGCAAGGAGGACTATGAGGATGTGTGGAGGGAGATTCAGATAATGCACCATTTGTCGGAGCACCCAAATGTGGTCAGAATAAAGGGGACCTATGAGGATGCGCTGTACGTCCACATAGTCATGGAGCTGTGCGCAGGCGGGGAGCTTTTCGATAGGATTGTGGAGAAAGGGCAATACAGCGAGAGGGAGGCTGCTAAGCTCATCAAGACCATTGTTGGGGTGGTGGAGGCTTGCCACTCTTTGGGGGTCATGCATAGAGATCTCAAGCCTGAGAACTTCCTGTTCCTTAGCTCCGATGAGGATGCTGCTCTCAAGGCCACTGATTTCGGCCTTTCTGTTTTCTACAAACCTGGTTGGTTCCCCTCCCGCCCTCTCTCAGTCAATTAATTGTGTCGTTTCATTTTTTTTTCGATTAGTTTTGTGGATGTTGTGATTGTGAGTTGGGCATCCATATGTGCATTCTCTATGTTGACTTGAAAATTGATGAAGCTGAGTCAAATTGGAGACTATTATGAAAATCGATGATGTTGTGATCGATTTTCATATTCAAAACTCTAAGGTCATGTTCGGGCCTCGGGAAATGCTAATAAAAGTTACGACCTTTATTGTGTTTGGATTTGCCATGGGAAATACAAAGTAAAATGGAAAATGATTTTAAACTTTCTTTTACATTTGGTTTGATTGTTTAATATGGAATACTGCGTAGTTTTTATATAATACGGAGTAGAATTGTAGAAAGAAATAAACAAACAAATAACTTAAATTCAGTTCAAAGTTCAAACCAAACAAATTAAAAAAAAAATACTGAGTTTGAAACAATATTATTTTTTCCTCAAAACATTTTATTTCCTTCCAAACCCTCCCATACCCTTTGTCCCTATTTTCTTCTCTAGTAAATTCCCCATTCCAAAAAGACCCTAAAGAGGTTGTGAGTATAGACTATCAATAAATTGTTCTGTAGTATCCTCTTTCAAACTACAGTGGGGTTTTATGATTGTGTGGATGCTGGTAGTTTTATTTTCGGACTTCAATCAATCACGTGGTCTTACTGGGTGTTCTTGTATGCATTCTAATGAAGCGTATGGGAGTTAGTTGCCAATTGTAGCTTCTGGTATAGTTTACTCAAGGGTTGCTATTTTGATTTTAAATTTGGTCATAATTTTTGGCTGGATGCTTTTCTCGCTGAAAGGACATTATTGAGCCTATATCTCATTTTCTTATGAATTTCGGCATCCGATAGGATATTATTAGTATAAGAAATGGAGCTTTGGTGGTGCTGTTATTGCAAGCACTGTTTAATTTCCTTTTAATGATTTGTTTATCTCCTAGTAGAGCTGTGGTTCATTTAATTTTCCCATGATTGGTTGCAGCTGATCTCTCACCAGACACTAATGGAATACATCAATTCTTGAAGCAAAATGCTCTCTCCTTTGAAGTTATTAACTTACATGTTATTATAAGGGTTCTATAAATACACAGTTGTGTTTTACTCATCATGGTTCTGTCTTATGTATTTCACTTTACTAACACATAGTGACATCTCAGACATCTATCAAAACCAAGGAGTGGTTTGAAATTTATGAGGGCTCTCTTTATTTTCAGAACTGTGGTTCTAAATTCTTATGTGGTCTGCTATTGTCACACACAGGGGAAACATTCTCAGATGTCGTTGGAAGTCCTTACTATGTGGCACCAGAAGTACTATGCAAGCATTATGGACCTGAATCAGATGTATGGAGTGCTGGGGTTATATTGTACATTTTACTAAGTGGGGTTCCACCTTATTGGGCAGGTAGTTAATCGGAATTATTTTTAATGTTCATAAATATGTGTTCTTTTCTTCTATACCTCCAGTGGCTCACATCATTTGCTTCTGTTTTTGGTGTTCCTCTTCTTTAGAAACTGAGGTGGGGATTTTCCGGCAGATATTGCAAGGGAAACTAGATTTTGAATCTGAACCATGGCCCGGAATTTCAGATAGTGCCAAAGATTTGATTCGTAAAATGCTTGATAGGAATCCAAAACGGAGGTTGACTGCCCATGAAGTTTTATGTGAGTCCTGCTGATAAATATAGATAATAGGATTTGTGTGGGTTCAAGTTTTTAGTTTTTGACACAAACTTATGATTTACCTGTTATTTTATGCAGCAGTTGGATTAAAAGATAATGCTCTTACTGTCTTACAAATTGCATTAACACAACCTTCTTGCTTCCTTTGTTTTTTAGGCCATCCTTGGATTGTGGATGACAGTGTTGCCCCTGACAAGCCTCTTGATTCTGCAGTTCTTTCACGCTTGAAACAGTTCTCTGCAATGAATAAACTTAAAAAGATGGCTTTACGCGTAAGATTTTTTCAGCATAAACTTTTCAAGGGAATTTTGTTTTTTACATAATCGCATAAAAGCTCGACTTCCTTTTCTTTTTTAAAAAATGGCAAAATGTGTTCTCACAATGTTCTAGATGAAATTTTCATAAATATGACTAAACCATAATACAACTTTTAAAATAGGACTATCATTGTTTCCTTATCTTAAATTATAACTTATTCACTCATAAAAGAAGAATTATTAGCTACTTTTTAGGACTGAATGAGTCCTATTTTTTAGTTCAACATGGATACATATATTTGTACATATGATCCATGTTTTACTCCTATTTGCCTATTCTCTTTATGTTTTGTCATAATATTCCATATAAAATAAACATGAGTCATTTTCAAATTCTCCTGTTTTCTTTTGCCCTGCTGCCACGTTAAGTAGGTGATTGCTGAAAGGCTATCTGAAGAAGAGATTGGTGGACTCAAACAGCTTTTTAGAATGATTGATACAGATAATAGTGGAACTATAACATTTGATGAACTAAAAGAGGGCTTAAGGAGAGTTGGCTCAGAGCTAATGGAATCTGAGATAAAGGATCTTATGGATGCTGTATGATTCTCCTAGTTCCTTTAGTAATTACTTATAATTTTGTCATTCTTTCTTTCGTTATTGATGATGTTTCATTGCTTATGGTGTATTTGACAGGCAGACATTGACAATAGCGGGACAATAGACTATGGAGAGTTTCTAGCTGCTACAGTACACTTGAACAAGTTAGAAAGAGAAGAGAACTTGATGTCAGCATTTTCTTTTTTCGATAAAGATAGTAGTGGTTACATAACCATTGATGAGCTTCAGCAAGCCTGCAAAGAATTTGGTCTAAGTGAGCTTAACCTTGATGAAATGATCAGCGAAATTGATCAAGATAATGTTAGTATGCCCTTTCCCATACTACTAGCTCACAATCTTTCTACAAAGAAAACACATTTTTAAGCCACTCGACTTCGCCTATTGGCGACTCTATTGAGCCCCTTAACTTCTAGCTTAACCTATTGAGCGTGTCACGAGTGACTTAAGAAGTAGTCCCCATTGAGGCTTTTTAATATTCAACTACTACTGCTCAAGTGCATTACACCATGACTCGTTCAGCTATCATGCATGCAATCCACCTTAAAACACAAATAAGTTACATCAAAACCCAAAAAAGATTTACTTTATTGCAAGGATAACTAGGGTTTTTTATGATGATGTTTCTTTTTTCCGTTTCTGACTTGTATTACATACATCAATACGGCCAATGGGGAGCTTAAGCTTTCCCTTGGCAGGCTCAGTAGGTCTGGATATAGGTTGGACTCAATACAGCCAACATGCAAAACTCTCAAGTGATTTGCCACATCTCCTATTGCCCTTAGTATAATAGCCTTTTCCCTCCTTTCCCATATTGTGCAGGATGGGCAGATAGATTATGGAGAATTTGCTGCAATGATGAGGAATGGCAATGGAGGTGTTGGGAGGAGAACCATGCGAAACACTCTAAATTTGAGGGAAGCCCTGGGACGACTTGTAATAGAGAATAATGATAACATCTAGCAAACTCATCATTGGGTAACTGTGACTTCCTAGCAAACTGTCAAAATGAATTTTGATAGCAAATCTTTTGTAGCTTCCAGTTCGATGCTGTAATTGGTAGTTGAGAGTTGAGAGTTGAGAGTTGAAGGGTTGGCTTTGTACTTTATTTGTTCTCTTCCCTAGTTTAAGAGTTAAGACGGACGGCTACTACATTTTCTGAATCTTGAATCACTAGACCATATTCCATCATGGATGGGATTTTGTTTACATCGTATATGCTCTTCTGTATTATTTTGTTTGACATAAAAAGCTAGTTACTAGTTGAAAACTTGAAACTGTAAAATAACATATGAGAGCATTGTTTCTTAATGGGGAAAAATATAATTACATTTAATATAGTTTTTTTTTTAATTTAAAGCATGGTATTTCATAATATGATGAATGAGCCATCAGATGATCAGACACAAGGTAGAGTAAAAGATAAGATGCGAGAGGCTCGATTGTGACGATTTGCTCATGTGTGTAGAAGATTGAGTGATGTACCTCTTAAATGAGTGAAGAAGTGTGGAAAAGAGGGAAGGAGAGAGATTGAGAGAGGGGGAAGACCTATGCAGAAGTGGATTGGAAAAGTCATGAGTGATATGCTTATTTTTGGGTTGAGTATGACTTGAAAAGATATAGATAGAGGATGGATATTCATATGGTGGATTGATCTCTTATCACTTTTTTATCATTTTATCTTATGTGCCTTTCTTATGTTTTTTATCTTTATACCATTTTTATTTTGTATACTCACCCATATATATATTATCATTTTAATCTTACCATCCGGAAACAGTGTCTCTGTGCTCTAGTGCAGGGGTAAGATTGCGTACATCCGACCCCCCTTACCCCACCGTAGGTGGGAGCCTTTGCGACACTGAGGTGATGATGATGATGATGATCTTATGTTTATCTTTATATTTATCTTTATCATATTTTTTTATCAGAGGTTATCTTTCCATCGTTCTCTTATATTTCCTTTCCTTTTATGCCCGATATCATATATCGATTCGTGTTAGTCGAAACAAAAATCTTATAGGACTAAAGCTTGAATGTTGTTGCTGCTTTATTTCATAATATGATAATTATTAATTAATTAACTTAAAGAATGGTTTTGCTAATTTTGGAATGTGGCCATTCTAAAATAAATGGGAAGAAACAAACAATTTGTCTTGAATTTCATTATCACGCACATTCATTACCCAAAACATACTTCGTACGGTATAAAAATGTCACATTAATAAAACTCTATTTTTTCATTTTTTTTCTACTTTTTCATCCTACTCTCAAGTATCAATCTCTCCTACTTATTAAACTTTTTCTACATTATTCGCTACTATTACTTCACCCTTAACTAGTTAACTATGTGCAAAAGGTTACTGTTGCAAACATGTGAACGCAAATGTAGTAATAAAGCTAATTCTAAAGTAAGAGTAATCATATTAATTAAACTTTTAACTACATAAACATAATTGGTATTTAATCTTTTCACACAGAATTCTTAGCGACGCGACTACGTTATAGCGAAGATCAGTGGGGAGGAGTGACCAGGGTGAGTAGGCAACCAGAAAAGCAGGACGGTCTGATTCATATAAGTCACTGGACTATTTTGAGCTTTTTTAATACTTGAGATTATTTTAAGAAAATTGATGCTTTGAATTATTTCAAACAGATCACTAATTGTTGAGATTATTACTATCTATTTTTCCAAATCTTTTTATACTAAACCTTAAGAATGGCGGCTATTTGGTTTAAGGCATGCCCTTATTAAAGTCCTCATTTCTCCTAGCAACAATTCATGAGGATAGATCAATATACATAAGAGAATTCTCATAATAAGAATAAAACATACGTCATGAAATTTCCCTAATAAAAGTGAAATTTTATGATTAGACAAGGACAACTTGTACTCTTGTAGGGGTTGACGGTTGGTCACCTAACTGACGTCGTCATCACCCAACTCCCCCAATTATGTTGAGAGAACCAAGGGGAAATTAATTATTCAATTATATTTAAAGTAGAAAGGTAATGTTTAATTCTAATTCAGAAATATAAACTATTGACTTGTATTTATCTACTTTAACCATGTGGACAATTTCTTTAGATATAATAAATGAGCTACCCCAATACAAACCATATAAAAAATCCCCAGTACGACTTACCATTTAGATTTGTACAATTTATAGCTTACTACACAAGAGCGAGTTTATCCAATGTGCAGTCATGGTTGTATTTCGATTGGTCAAAGTTTCACTACAAGTATAGAGTCTATTTGGAAACAGCCGGAAGGACTGAAAAGTCTGAATAGGCTGAAAAGTAAAAGTGTTTAATAATATGTTGATTGAAATGGCTGATTGAATGTAAATTTACGATTAAGGGTATTTGTTTATTTTTTGCTTATGTGGTTCAAAGCAGTCGAGATTCCGGACCTTAAACCACCGTCGCTGCTCCAATGGACACATATACTGCCGCAGACATCTCCCAAACTGGAACACCCACTACGGATCAAAATCAGAACTAAAGTTATGTAACTTACACCCAATAAGTCATCCGTTTGGAAGGATATCAGAACCAAAGTTCTGTAACTTACACCGAATGAAAATCAGAACCAAAGTTTTGGAACACGAGAAGCCGATCTGGAAGGAGATACGCAACCGAGGAGATGAAACCGACACAACCAATCTGGATTCTGGACAAGCTGGAGGTAGAGTTGGACTCAGGCCGGGCCGGGCCGGGCCTAGGCCGGGCCGCCGGTTCTGAATAGATGGGCCCAGGACCGGCCCGGGACCGGCCCGGGTATCCACCGGGCCCGGGACCGGCCCGGGTACCCACCGGGTCCGGTCCTGGTCCGGGCCGGGCCTATTATCATTTTTTTTCCCTCTTCCTAATTAACCCCCCTCCCACCCCCAACCCCCCAAACCACCCCAAATGGCCCAAAATACCCAGCCCAACCCGAAAATTGAAAAAAAAATTGAAAAAAAATCAATTTTGGCCCGAACCGAGCCCGGGCCCGGCCGGGTCGGGCCTTGTTTTGGGTGACCCGAGCCCGGACCGGAAAACCCACGGGTCAGGTCTACCCGGACCGGTCACTGACCGGGCCACCGGGTAAGGCTTATCAGCTCATTTTCTAGGCTCCAAACGGCCCCATAGACTACAAATACTTCTCCCCCATATGATTATCCACAAAAGAAGTGAACCAGCAATATAATATCACAAATTCTAGTACATTTACATCATCAATACTTTCTAACGAGAGAAGTCGGAGAAAGAATGATGAATTGATGATACACCATTAAATTTCTGCCATCTGTCGTGTCTTGAGTGGGTCCCGTCAATTTCTTAGGGAAGTATGAATCTAACTTCTATGTATGGAAATCATATGAAAACAAACATCTCATCAACAATCAAACTCAAGGCATAACATTTAGTATAGTTTACCTCTCCAGGCTCTCCTGTGTGGTTTACAAGCTAGCATACACATACAAATTGAAAGATCTTCCACCTTCAATAACCAAAACAGATTGTATAATGCATATTAGGTAATAGCTACACGTCGATGCAAGAACATGAATGTGAAGAAAATGATACTTTTGTGAGCTGAACATTTTCAGGACCAAACATTGCTTGTGGTGTTTGCAAAATCTTGCTAACATTAGCCTATATTTGTTGTTCACAAAATGCTTCAATAATCATCATTCCCTTCAGATCACTCAGGATTGTTCTCATGACTACTAGCATCGCCATCTTCACAGTCATGACTCCCTGGTTCTTGTTCTTCTTCTGCCTCTGCTTGACTGTATTTTTCAGTTGTTCCATTATTACCTCCTTGTGGTTCATCAGAACCAGTAGTTAAATCAACGGAGCTTTCGTCTCCATTCTCTTTTTGCAAATGGGTTAAAATAAGATAATGTGCCACGGATTTGTAACCAATTTCCAAGACCTGAAAATTCAATTCATATTGGAACATAGGCCAACTCTATCTCCATTACCATACTGGAGAATGGAGAGTGATGGAATAAAGGATATTTCCAAAAAACAAAAGATTACCTTGTTATAAATTGCACCAGTGGGAGCCCATCCTTTTCGACGTCTGCAGCGACTACAGTTGCATATATCACGGCAGACAGGGCAAGTCCAGTTTGGATTTTCCTTTGCTTCGATCACATTTTCCCCATACCTACACAAGGAGGGAGTAGAATGAATTGGAAGCAATAATGAGGTTGTGGATGAACAATTGAACATTACGGCTCCGTTTGGAAGAGCCAATGAACTTATTTTGTTTTACAATTCTATTATGCAGTTCTTATGATATGGCATCATAATTTTTTAAAAGAGAATACTTATACTTATCATTCTAAACTCCCCACACACCAAACAAAAAACAACCTTTTCTGGTTTTCATAATTCTGATTTTAGCTTTTAATGAAACAGAAAACAGAGAGAGAAAATCGGAATACCGAAAAGGAAAGACGCCAAATAAAAGGGGGTGGAGGGAGTGAATTACAATAGCTTAATCTACTTTGTATAGTCTGCTATTATAATCCTCTGTATATACGATAGTTTGCTATTCCCTATTTCTATTTCATAGTTTGCTACTTTAAGCTTCTGTAATTAATACTTCCTTACACGGTAAATAAAACCAGCATAGCATCACAAAAAAGCTGTTTGAGAAAGAAAAGGAGATGGTTCTTTTAATAACCTCATGTAAAGGCAATCTCCACAAAATTGCCCTTGGACTAAGTTGCACTTGCTGCATTCGGTGTGCTTACAGATTGTTTTCTGCCTGCACAGTGTCATATATTTGCACATAAAAGAGTGAGAAAGCAGACTGAAAAGACATGCGATGAAATGGCCATTGATCATTTTAACTATTCAGCCTTAAAAGAGAGTGTGGAAACAGATTGAAACTACTTACATTTTAATGAAAGAGAGTGAATTTTCAAAAGCAATGAAAAATGAGATGATTTCATACAATGGAACCAATCTCATACAATAAGAATAAGAATGGTTGATCGCTTTTTCCTTGGAAGAAAACTATACAAACTTCATTACATTCTTCATTGAGATAATTTCTACTACGGCAGTGAAAAATGATAATTCTGAAGTTGAAGCATAAACAACTATGTACCTGCATTGATGGCAACTCTTCCCATAATATGGATCATATATGCGCATTCCCTCTTCATCATACCCATCCTCTAACAAAGTCCAACTATTCTTGTAATCGCCTAGCACCTCTACATGCTCTTTTGTGTAAACTTCTGGCTTTTCACCCTCTGGTATAGAAATCTCCACATTCTTTGGAGACTTCTCTCCTATCATATATTCTCTTCCTTCAGAATAATTTACAGGAGCCAGAGTCGTCAACCTTGCCATAACCCACAATATTTAAATTTTGCAAGTTAGATATCCTTATGAGCCATTTACATGAAACCGACTAACAATTCTTGAAGACAAACTTGTTTTGACCTAGCCCTCACCCCTTGAAACAAGAATAACAAAAAAACGATTTGAATCCATACTATAAATAAAACTTGATACAAGGGCCCCTAGAGATTTTGCTCGATCATTACCTTTATGTAGGACTAGTTGGCCAAATGGTGTGTGTGCGTGTAGCAAAAACATAATGAAGCGTTGTATGTAACACCATTTTTGTATGTGCACATGGAAAAACATGCAATAAAATCCTTCAGGATGAACAGAAAATGAAACACCAACAGCTACAAACAAACAAAATGCTTGCATTTCATATGTGATTATCAGAATAAGAGTATCGAACAACAATGGTTCAAAGACGAGAGTACCTGGAGGAGCGTCGAGGTGGGTCTTCGGAAGAGGGTCTCTTCTTGTGAGGAGGAGCCCTAACAGACCCTTTTGCACGAGAATTTTCAGGTTTGAGCTTCTTGGACAGTTCAGCAAGGCCCAGATTCTTCATTCGCTCCATATTTTCTTTTATTCTCCTAGCTCTGTACTGTTCGTACTCTTCAGCTGCTTCATTCTGAGTTTCTTCTTCGTCTTCGTCTTCTTCTTCCTCTTCATCTTCTTCTTCTTCCTCTTCATCTTCTTCTTCTTCCTTTTCTTCGAATTCTTCTTCGTCTTCTTTTTCCTTCATTTCTTCGGCTTCTTCTTCCTTGTCTTCTTCGTTTTCATCATCTTCTCTGGCTCTTTTTTTCGCCATTTTCCCTATATTCAAGCGAGCGTGCAAGTGGAAAATGAAAGTGCAAATTGGGGGCTGGCTAGTTTGCAATGTTCCACCTTTTATATTCGAGGATGCAAGGACGTTTTATATGGGAGAAAATTGTTCCACCTTTCATAGCACTTTGATAAAAGGGAAAAGTACATAAAATTGTTCCACCGTTAGGATCATACGTTTCATTCTTTATCAAAGTGGTTAATGTGTTTGAATTCCGTTATCACAAGAGGTTCATGTCGTTAAAAACGTCTGAAAAAGACCGTTAAAAGTAACTCCGATTTTCAAAAGTGCCCGAAAAAATAAAAGAAAAATACTGGAAGGTGCGCCGCAATAAGACGACCGCTAGGTCATCTTTCTTTTTTTGTTTTCAGCCACCCTTGTCACCGGAAAGTCCATCAGAAAAGTGATATTAGCGAAATCATTTTAAAAAAATAATTCAAACAGATCTGAAAAATCCAAAGACGAAGGTGATTTGGAGGTCATCTTGACAAGGCGCACCTTTCGGTATTTTTCTTTTAATTTTTCGGACACTTTTGAAAATCGGAGTTACTTTTAACGATTTTTTTCCAGACGTTTTTAACGGCGTGACCCTCTAGTGATAACGGAATTCAAACACATGAACTACTTTGATAAAGAATGAAACACATGACCTTATCTGAAATTGGACTCAACCACAAGTACCTTTTTCGTAGTTTTCCCTTGATAAAATTACTACCTACTTAATTTTCTACCTGGCTTATCACCTATCTAATTCTATTTTGGGAAACTTTATTTTAAATTTCCAATTTTATCTTTCACTTATTAAAACTAAGTGACCACAACTTAGCTTAGCATTACGTCAATTTTCTCCCTTGCGTACCTTACATCGTTGATGATCACAACTTTCATGCTCCAACTCTCCTTTCTTCTTCGACATTCTCATGGAGCTTTTCAGTCTTCCACATTCGACAGTCGCGTATGAATTCGAAGAACTACATTCATATGAAATCGACATGGTCTCACCGAGCTGGTTTTGGCCGGATACATCAGCTACATTCCGGCAGATCTTAACTCCGGAGTCTACGGCTCCATCGATACTTTGAATTTTTGGAAATCAAATAGAAAGCCTTCCGGCTTTCCCGGAGCACCATAAATTACCGCTGACAACTCCACGATGGGAGTTCACCATTAATCTACACGCCCTAGCGAGGGTTGTGACATTCATTGTTCTCCCAATTGACCTTTTGATCGGCAATGGCCTACGGCTTCTCATCCTGAAGTTTCTTGACGGTCTCTTGGGTTAATTTCATTATTGAAAATAATGAATGGTAGATATTGTGTTTTATTTTATCCGGTCTGCTATTATTATACTATAATTTAAATTTATTGTGTATTTATTGGCTACTTACTGTATATGTATTGTCTTTTGTTTTCCAAGTTTGATTTTGGTTATACATGCTCTCTTAATGTTAGAGAAGCTCCCCCTCCCATCATGAAGCTACAATAGCTATAGTTATTGATATCATCAAACACCGAAATGAAAATGCATATACAAAAGTGTATGTTCCGAATGACACTTTATTCGATTACTTCACGCTATATTCACTTTGTACTTACTTGTAATGTTGTGTATTCTATTTTAGGTTAAGCGTGCTACTCAATTTGAATTTCAGATGTTGGACAAAACATCTAGAAGTTTTATTGTTAATCTCAAAAAAAAAAAAAGATTTGAGTTTCAACTGGAGTAGTTCATACGTGTTCATGGTGGTGTCAATGTGGGTCAATGTGGAGGACATCGTGTTATGATTGCAACAGACCTTGTTGATTATATGCAGTCCAAAACGTGCAATCCACCTACATGTCTCAAACGCCAACTCGCTAGACATAAAAAGAAGTGTGTTACCTTCAGCTAGAGGCTTTTCTTCTTGAGAGTGGCAATGGTGTTCACGTTATAAGAAAGATGGGCAGAATAAGAAGCATTGTAGTAATCATATTCCAGTGCATAGTTCTAAAATTCATAATGTCCTATCACTTTCATTTTTAATCTAATAAGTGTTGTAAGACCTTTAGAGATCATGCTAGTTGTAATGGAGTTTATGCTAGTTGTAATGGTTTGGAGATCATGTTATTTTATTGTGTGTACTCAAGTTTAATAAATAATAGCCATTTCAAAAACTAGCTGACATCTTTGATCAAGATTTCATTCAATTTCTAAATTTCACATATGACTTTATATGTTTATTGTCTTCTTATTGTCTACTTATTAACTTTTATTGTATACTTAATGTCTAACTCATATATAATATTTCTCAACAATTGCCTCTTTTGCCCGAGACATTCATGTATGAAGATCTTCCTTTTGTATACAATAGAAGTTTATAAACATTAGTTGTGGTCATTTAATGTCTACATTTACTTTATTAAAGACTAACTATTATCTATTTATGGACTTCATTCCATAATTAGATTACAGTTTACAGTGAAATCAACATGAAATAAAAAAGGGAAAAGGAGCAAATAAGGCCACGTACTAACAAAAAAAGGTCAAATAAGGCCTTATTTATGAGGCTCTGTCCGGCCTTCGCCATTTGGGTTCGTTCTCGGTGGATTTTTTTGATGAAAATTTTTTAGCATCTTATTCCTTAAGTCTAGTTTACTCATACCAAATTTAAGCTAAAACTTCAATCGGGAAGCTATTCAAATGAATTCTTGAAGATAATTGCGCAGTTAGAAGCGCAATTATCTTCAAGAATTCATTTGAATGCCTTCTCGATTAAATTTTTATCTGAAATTTGGTATGAGTAAACTAGACTTAATGAATAATATGGTCAAAAAAAATTCATCAAAAAATTCCACCGAGAACCACCCCAAATGACGAAGGCCGGACAGAGCCTCATAAATAAGGCCTTATTTGACCTTCTTTGGTTAGTACGTGACCTTATTTGCCCCTTTTCCCAATAAAAAATGGATGCTCATCTAATTCGAAACAGAAAAGGATATTACATATTGTCATATACTCAAATCTCAAAATAAATGTAACTAATATGTAACCACAATATTTAATGACCAAAAGAAGGAAGATTTACATCTTAGGCCACCTAATACTTAATATGTATTACAGACCATCTTAGTCGAGCCACCTGCTTCCTGCATTATGCATAGATCAGTACCACAACAGCCATTATGTTACGTATGATGATTCTATTAATCTGATTCCATCTATTTCTCTTGTGAAACCATGGCGCCTTAATATAAAATTCGTATTGCTTTCTCTCGTGGATGTAGCAACTACAACAGATTGTGTGTTTCTTTCCTCTTGAGTTAGTCATACACAAAGCCTTCAAATTGTTTCATTGTTGCCAATGCCAATTAAGGCATTCTCTTTAAGGCCAAGTCTTTCTTTATCTCATCGTTGAGCGTAGTCCTTCTCTTCCCTTGCTTTTTCTCTATCACGAATCGAATTCGGGATATCTTCCTCTATCAATTTGATTCTTTTTGGTGTTTTTCTTTTAATTGTTGCAATACTTGTAATGAAGGGAACAATACGTTAGGAGGATGTCATTATAAGTGGGTTCAATTCCATGCAATGCAACCCCAAATGTGACTAGCAAAATGGGTTCAGATGGAGGATGCACCTCACAACAGTTTCAACTAGATAGAAATCCCAGAACACCCGACACTACCCTCACTTCTTTCTCCAACAACATAACATCATCATACAATAATTTGAACTTGCTTTTTATGCTTCTGTGAATTCATTACAATGTTAGTAGAGATACTAGCAAACATATGACAACAATAAAAAAAATGGGTGCAATAAAAATAAATGACAAAAATATGTCTTTTAATAAGCAGCTATCATAGTGTTATTTAGTTGTGAGTGAAGAGTCATTACTAATGGGGTGTAGAGTCATTACTAATGCTCAATTTTAATCTAGTGACCATGGTGATACTTTTGCCGTGACTATAGGGATCATGTAGCCTTTTTTGTCCATAAACTTCACTTTAGTTATATTCTCAGGAAAATCCCAATTATCATATACCCTAGAATCCCCCCAATACCATGTCATAAAAAAGAAGAAACATTAAGAAAGCAGCATTTTTGGTTATAACCTTCAATTCAACAAACTATTCCCCATCACTCTCAAGACTTCAAGAAGAAAAAATTGGTCAAAGGAAAATTTACATTTGTCTCAAAATCATTGTCTGAATATTCATGGTCCTTCTCTGCGATTTCTTCACTTTTTTCCTCTGACTTGTTCTTTCTCTTCATCTTTTCGAACTCATGGTCAAATTGTTTTTGTTTGGCTTGTTCTGTGTTTTCAAAATTCTTCTCCTCTGTTTTTTTTTCTCTTTGCCATTGTTCTTCTTACAACCTAACTTTTCTTCGATAGTTTTCTTCATAGTCGGCTTGCTTTGTTGTCGTCCTTTTCGATTTCAAAGCTCTCAATAACAATTTCGTTCTATCGTCTGCATTTTTCCGGATCCGATGAGCGAAGCTGGTTTCTTCGTTGTTTGCCAAAGTTTACTGTTTATAACCGACAAGTTTATTCAAGTGGCCTGCTATCTCATTTTAAAATAGGGGTAATATAGTCAAAGCAATTACAATTAAGTCCTATGCCAGCTTCTAATCCTAATTCTGGAAACTTGATAAGTTTAAGTCTTATTTGCATAAATTTCCCTTTATATGGGCGGAAATGTTGGTTTTTTGAGTACAATACTCTAATAGAATCGAGTCGAAATTATCTATCCCAGACAACTTTGAAGTTTTCACTTATTTGCATTTATATTTATTTAGCATTCGAACTTTTTAAAAAAATATATATTCGATTTGATTAATTTTCAAATATATTTGATTATATTCGAATACTCAATTCAAGTATTCATATTTGAGTGTATTATTATTATTATTATTATTATTATTATTATTTTGAAGTATATTACTCTCCCCTGACCTATAATGAAATTTTGTGATTAAACAACTGATATATTGAGACGGAAACAGGTTGAGATTAATGGTTGTTGTTACACTTGTGGGTGGAAGAAAAAATGATAATCATCTATTTCAAAATTACAGCAAGTCTCGGGCAATGTGGTATAAAATGGGAGGGAGATTTCAACGCCCGCACTTATGTGAATTTCAGCTACAGGTTTGTGCTATTTTTGAAGCTTTGGACGATGAAGATTGCTGCAACTTTGTCATGGCATTGTGGAGCATATGGAAAAGGCGTCATGACTCACTATGGAAAGGTGAGCACACAGATGAGGCGGGAGTATTACTATGTGGTTTACCCACTACGAAGGCTTGACGGGCTACGCATGTTGGCAGGCGAATTTGAGCAGTTCAAGAATGGGGAGGAGGCGGAAGTTGGAGGAATCCAGAAGTAGAGAACATAAATATAAACATAGATGTTGAAATAGACAGTAAAAGAGGCCATAGAGCCTGGGGTTGGTTGGCCCGTGATGAAGAAGGGAAAGAAATTGACATGGAAGTGGGTTGGTTGCCTGCGGAAGCAGAAGCAGAAGCTCTAGGAGTGCGGGCAGCAGTTCAATGGGCGACTGAGGAAGGTTGGAATCGTGTGTTAGTGGAAATAGATGTGCTTCAAGTATTTTCAAGTTTGCAACAACCTCCAAGTTTTTCATATTTTGATTTAGTTATTGATGATATAATGCATTGATAGAACATGAACCTAATTCTGAAATTGCATATTGTAAGCGATATGCGAATCACACTGCTCATCTATTAGCTAGAGTGACAATTTCAACGCTAGATTGCGGGTCTGAACAAGTAATTCCACCAAGTTACATTGTAAGTCAATTGGCTAATGATATTCTTGATTAATATTAATGAAATAATATGTTTGTTTCAAAAAACTTCACAAGGTTTAGGTATACAATTTGAAAAGCAATGAATACAGGCGTGTTGCAGGTACCATATTGCTACGGATGAAGTGATCCATCAAATTAAGATTCGATGCTATAAAATAATGTATAAAATAACAACTACTCGAATCGGCTTGATCCACAATATATATGGTATATTAAGCAAGTCAAATATTCTTGACAAGAATTTCCTGACCGGAACGTTGTATGACCACCTCCATTCGAGGTGCTTCCGGATATAAATTTTTAATGCCCTTATTGCTTGAGAACCTCTCACTGTCCATTACAGAAAACTTTCCTCCTTTATCACTATCCACCTCTTTTTCATACTGAGCATTTCTGGTAATACTATTCATTCCTCCCACAGATCGAACTCATGTTGGAGAAACCAACCGTCTAAGCCAATAACCTATACAAAACAAAAAAAATTGGGAAATAATGGCGTACCCGATTGGGTGTCATGAGGTAATATTTATACTAAACACAGTTTAGGAAATTACATAGTAATCCTTATATAAATACATTATTACACCCCCTCAATCTGTGCAGGGGAAACAACGCGCAGATTGGAACGTAAAAACTCAAACTGCTGACTGGACATATTTTTTGGTGAAGATGTCAGCTAACTGCAACTGAGTAGGAATGTACTTCACTACAAGATCCCCATGAGCCTCTCTCTCGTGAACAAAGTGATAATCGATTTTGATATGTTTGCTCTTATCATGCTGAATAGGATTAACCGCTAAGTATGAGGCAGAGACGTTGTCACAGTAAAGTTGCACTAGAGCTGATATATAAATGCCCATGTCAGCTAAAAGTGACCAGATAAAAAGTGTGTCCTGAACGGTATAGGCGATGGCCCTGTATTCGGCTTCAGTGGAAGATTTGGACACGGTGGGCTACTTTTTGGATCGCCAAGAGATGAGATTGGATCCAAGAAAAACAGCATAACCAGTAGTAGAACCAGAACTATCGGGGTAACCAGCCCAATCTGCATCAGAATAAGCCATAATAACAGAAATATTTTTGTCAGATTTGAGCCATAGGCCGTGAGCTGATGTCCCCTGTAGGTACCTGTAGATTCGTTTAACAGTCAATAAATGAGTAGTACGAGGAACATGCATAAACTGAGAAACCAGATGAACATCATATGTAATATCAGATCTAGTTATAATTAAATACTGAAGAGCACCTACCATACTGCGATACTTTGTAGCATCAGATAAAAGTTCTCATCCGTGAGAGAGAGAGTGGTGCGTAAGGGTAGAGGAGTACACACAGGTTTAACTGTGTGAAGATGGAAGCGACGCAAGAGGTCAGAGATATATTTTGCCTGGGACAAAAACAAATCATTTGGCGTGCGAGTAGCCTGAATGCCCAAAAAATAATGAACATCGCCGAGATCTTTCGTGGCAAACTGAAGAGATAATGTATGTATCACAGATAAAACAAACGATGTACAGGAACCAGCAATGAGAATGTCATCAACATTGATGGATAGTCTACCCGGGGGTATATATCCGAAGGGTTATTACGGGGAATAACTTAGAGAGAAGTCAGAGCAAGTAAGTAAAAGTAGAGAGAGAAAATGTATTATAAATGCGGAGTGTTTTCAGCGTGTTATGACTTGGTTACAAATGGGGAAAAGGGGTGCTATTTATAGTAGCAATAAATGCCGGGCAGGGACACGTGTCAAGCGCTCATTGGCCGATGGGTCACCTCAACTGGTTGGCGCTGGCAGCCGCATGTGGCCGCATTTAATGCGGCTGTTGGACGGGACGTCTGTGCGGGGTACGGTGATCTGTACGCATGTGAGGCGGATATCTTGTCGAGTGAGATGCCTTCGGCTATAGAGCAGTAGCCGAGGGCTCTTCCTCCCGATGGTACCCTGGTGCCGAGGGCTCACAGTGCCGAGGGCTACTGTTTTCGCCGTTTTCTCCCAGTTTCTTAGTTTGCTTGAGAAACCCGCTCTGTGAGAATTTGGAGCCTTCGGCCAGGGGGCCGAAGGCACCCCTGTGCGTTGTGCGGACTGCTTGGTACTCTGGGCGCTGTGATTTGGGCCTGTTGGGCCTTTGCTGGAGTAGTAGGAGTCTGTGGGCCGGGGGTTCCCGGGCCATATACTCCATCAGGAGTCCCTCACTCCTTTTGCCGAAAGGTACTTGAGGGAAAAGGAGTAATTTGTGCTTGCCCTTTGATGTTGTCCCGTTGTGATCTCTGAAGTTGGTGAGGAGTTGTTGCTTTTATGTCCCTGCTGAAGGCAGTCCCTCAGTTACCCACATGTCGGGACTTGAGGGCTTGCTTTGTTGTTTGTTGGAATTTCACAGATTTTGTAATTTAATGATTTTCCCGAGGGGGTCCTCCAGTCCCCCACTCCTTGAGGCACTTGTAAAGTGGTGAAGAGGAGTAAAGCAGTTACGTTGCTGTTTGTGGGCCGAAGGCTGACGCTTTTCGTTTCATTTTGGGGGGATGCCTCGTTAAAAACCTCATTAGGAAAAACCCTTTGGGAAAAAATCCTAATGAGGGAAAAAGAGTGCACCGAATTCCCCCAATGATGAATCGAAAATGTCAAACCTTGGTACAAAGTGGAGAATGACGGGAATGCCGAAGGCTCTCTCCTCTGAGGGCTCCTGTGTTGATTAGCCGGAGGCTTGCTGTTGATGTCTTGGTGGCGCCGAAGGGGAGCCCCTCAATCCAGGGATCGAGGGCCTGCCAGATGAGGGCAGCAGTGAAGCTGTTACCGGGGGGTCCACTGTTTGTTGATGAGTTGGTGATGAAGATACCCGAGGGCCATGGGCCATCCGTCAATGAGGCACTCCCCGGGGGCTACCCGGTTTTGCAGTGCTGAGGGGAAAACCCCGAGGGGTGCCCTGATATGCAGCCCTAGGGATATGAAGGAGTGATCCCGAAGGCGTGTGTAATGTGCTGTGTGGGGCACAACCCGGGGGCACTTCTGGGTGAGTGCACCCGGAGGCTATCCTTGATGAAGTGGAGTGAAGTAGAAAACCCGGGGGCTTCCAAAATATAGCCGTTGGAAATATAGCCGTTGGAATATGTAACGACGGGATATAGCCGTTGGGGGGGGGGGCACACGTGGCGTGTGATGGCTGGTTGTCCGTGGGCGGCGTCACCGGTTGGGCGAAGACGCGGTGAGTAATGATGGCGTCCGTCCGGAGGCCCGGAACCCAGGCCCAAGCCCGGATTCCAGCGCCTATAAATACCCCAAGGCCAGAGCCATTTCCTCTTGTGCGATCAGTTGTTTCAGCGAAGCTCTGCCAAAAATTCTAGTGAGAGAAACTCCAGCCTTCGGTCAAAACTCTGCTTTCAAGGTCAGTGCCCTGCTCCTCTCTCAAAGTTTTTAGTAAGTTCCGCCCCCTGGCCTTAGATTAGGTTTAGAATCCTGTAGAGAGCCTTCGGAGTCTTAGGCTTATTCGTGATAAAAAATGTCGTCCGAGAGCGATTCCCAGGACATCTCGAGGACGCCCTCGATGGAAGACGAAGGTATCTCCGATGCGGAGTCTAGTAGCAGTCAGCCCTCGGGTGGTGATGCAGCTCTCGCCACCGAGATGCAGAAGGATTTGGCGGCCGAGGTCGAGGCGAAGGAGTTTGAGCGAACTGTCGAAGATGAGGAGTTAGCCCTCGTCGTCCAGGTTGCTGAGGAGGAAGAAGAAAAGGAGAGGGCGAAGGTCACTGTCGCTGTTCTTCCCCCCCGGGGTTCTGGGGAAGCCAGTAGCTCGAGGCCGCTGGACCCGACGCCGTTAAGTGTAGCCCCCGGGAAGAAGAGGAGAAAGACGAATGCTTCCCCCCAGAAGAAAGTAAAGGTCGTCGATCAGGGGGGGCCAGTTGATCTACCGGAGGGTTACTCCTTCCTGGACACCGCCGCTCTGGAGATTAAGTCCCAAGCTGACAGGGCGGACATCTACATCACCCAATTGCATGTAGGGCCCTCGGCCGTGGTAGTCGAGCCAGGTCCTGATGACGTGCTGTCGCGCCCCCCCCGAGGGATGTATAGCCGTGCACGTGCTCTCGGTCTCAATGGGCCTCTGGTTCCCTCTCCATCCGTTCCTCCGGGAGTACCTGAGGTACACCGGCCTGGTTCCCTGCCAATTGACCCCCAATAGCCACTCGTACATAATTGGGTTCGTGAACCTGTGCAAACTCCGGGGGGTTACACCGAGCTTGGAGCTATTCTTCCAAAGCTTCAACCTATGCTGGGGGGGCCATACCAATGCCGAGGGCTATGCGAACTTACAGCAGATAGCCCAGTTCAAATTGTTCACCGAGGCCCCTTCTTCCAACAAGGGGTGGAGAGAGCGATCGTGCTACATCAGACTGGCCGACAGCCCTTTCCCGAGGGAGTTGCGGAATTGCTTTCGGCGTCATGTGAAGGTCAAGAGCGCCGCCCTCGAGAAGGATGGCCTGAAGATTGCCGAGATTCCGGAGGGGCGGGATAAGAACATAACCATCAAGGAGTGCACCCTCGAGAAAGACCTGTATGCCCTCGGATTCCTGAGGTATCGGTTCATTGGGGAGACCGAGGAGAAGTATCCCCTCTATGATAAAGCCTTCGTGGGAGCAGGAGGTAGTGGCCGGGGGCTTTACATTTTTGTACTTTGAGATTTTCTGTCATGTTTGTTGTCGTGTCTCGGACCCCTCGGTGCTAACCTTTTAACTTGTTGTTTCTTTGTAGGTAGCAGGATGAATGCCAACGCTCTGTTCGCAAAGAGGAAGGGCAAGACCCAGTCCAAGGAGAAGGGGCCCTCGGGCCAGAAGCCAGTCGACGCGCTTTTCCCGAAGGTCATAGAGCCTTCCGCCGGGGACGCCCATGCTGCTGTGGGGACCGGGGGGTCGAAGGCCGAGGCGGCCGCTAAGAAGAAGAGGGGCGACAAGGGGGTGGAGCCCCCCACCAAGAAGCAGAAAGGCGCCGTGGGTGCTGTCGGGGGGCGGCCCCCCTCATAATTATTGATGACATGCCCGCTGTTGATGGGCCTCTAGCCTCGGTCCCTCCGAAGGATCCGGTGAATCCCCCCGGGAGGAATTACCCCGGGAGATCCGTCAGCTCTCCTTTGCCCCGGGCGCTTCCCTGATGCACGGCACTGCCGAGCCGAGGGCCTTCCTTCGGGGCATCACCTCGAAGATGGACAGGGAGGTCTTCGAGACCTACGATGATGATGCCCTCGAGAACAGGATCCTCCGGTCCTCTCTCACTGTAAGTATCTGCTTCCTTTTCCCTTATCTTATCAGTTTAGTATTATCTTTCCCTGTGGAATAATCTAACTCCTTTTGATCGTTGTTTGCAGGCCTGCATAGCCCTCGGGGAACAGGCTCGGAGGCGCGAAGAAAGGCGCCTTCACGAGGCCGCCCAAGATAAGAAGGTGGAGGGGCTGATCCGCAAGAACTTCGAGGCGGTGAAGCATGCTGCACAGCTGGAGGAGGCCCTTCGGGAGGCGAAGGCGGCGGCGGAGAAGGCCAAAGCTGACGGCATTGCCGAGGGCAAGGCGGAGGCCGAGAGGGCTGCTGCCGAGGCGGCGAAAAAGGCTGCCGAAGAAGCCCAAACTGCTAAGGAGAGAGCTGCGGCCGAGGCCCGAGGGGAGGCAGTTGCGGAGTTCCTCGCTGAGGGCTGGAGGGCCGAGGGCCATAAGGAGTGGGTTGCCTCCGTGGTGGCAGCCTCGGTGGACGCTTGGGTAGAAGGCCCGGGGGTTGACTGGCTGACTGACAGGGGGGACGCCTACTACCAGGGGGGTGAGTTCTTTACTCAGCACCTGATCTATCGGAGGCTTGCCAGGCACTTTGGCGTGTCCCTCGAACAATTTGACCCCTCGGTATATGGCCTCCCTCCGCTGCAACCAGATGTCAGAGTTCCCCTCCCCCCGGGTGAAGAGCGGCCAACAATCTATGATTCTGTGATGATGGGGGGTGATGGGGTTGGAGCCGTCGGGGGTGATGCTGCCGGAGAAGAAGTCTCCTCCAAGGCTGTCGTGGAAGATGCCCCCGGTGACAACGAGGCTGAAGCCGCCGAGAAGATTAGTATTTAGTCAATTTTTGAAAAAAGCCTTGTAATGAAACTTTTGTCACCCCTCGGCTTTGGCCATACTCTGTAATGATCACATTGACTATTTTTTTGTTGTAAT